GAGAGAGAGAGAGAGAGAGAGAGAGAGTGAGAGAGAGAGAGAGCGTGAGCGAGAGAGAGGGGGACACACAAACAGCAGCTACCCACAAATGGTGAAGCACAGACAAGAGAATAGTAGAACTGGCAACAAATGTGAGAAAGCCCGCGGCGGCGAGTACGAACCTTAGTATGCAGCTGTTTGAGTTGCTTTTCGTCCATGTGTAGCGCCTTGTACAGTCGCCGCTTGTACTTGAACTGAAATAAATAAAAACTTAAATGAAAAAACTAATATTATTTGGGATAATATCGCTGCGAACCCTGCCACCTATAGCGGTTAGTGAGTTACTGATTAACACACGCACGCACGCATTCGCGCACGCACACGCACACATGCATCTATACATATGTAGACACAATTATGCCCACACGCATACGCGCATGCACATGCATACACGCGCGCACATACACGCACACGCTTTCACAGATGCAGACACAAGTATGCACGCACGCATACACGCACGCACACGCATGCACACAGATTCACAGGTGCGTACACGCTTTTAAATTTATTCACAACCCCTCGTACGCGCCCGTAACAACAGCCGAGCAAAACGTTTCCTACTGCATTTCAATAAAAAGCATTTTATTATAATTAAAAATTCATTATAACTCCCGTCGCTGCATAATGAATGCATCGCGTTGGCGTATATCCGCATCAGGGCAGAAATCATTTAGCGTTGCAGATATTTACCTATTACGCCGCCAACCATTAAACCTATCCGACGTTTTACTTCACTGCTCGCGCTTCTGTTCTACTGCGTAACACTTTCCGCAGCATCTCCCGTAAAGTGGGTATGATATAACAAATTACTGGCTGGCAGATCGCATGATCGTGATGGATGGATGCGTCGCAGGTTTTAACTAGCCAATTCTAAGCGCTATAATCTATTACTACCTGACAAGATATTCAATTAGATACCACCAGCATTGTTCAGCAGTGACTATGTTATAGTAAACGTGCAAGCAGCGCGCACAACGCGTGTAATAATATGTCTATATTACCTATTTATCTATCTATCTATCTATCTATCTATCTATCTATCTATCTATCTATCTATCTATCTATCTAT